TTCCAAAGCGCTGCTGAAGGCCTTCTTGGATGGCATCCACCAGAAGTTTGCAGTACCTGGAGGTAATGCGAATTCGGTCCAGTTTCGAGATGAGGAGTGTCAAAGTAGGCAGAAGCCATCCCATCTGAACATCGATTTCAGCCTGAAGAATGTTGAGGGCTTTGGCTAGGGGGCTCATGGTTCTGGCATACTCTTCCAGAAAGGCAATTTCAACTGGACTCAACCTATCACACATTCAGACAACAACAATTAATAATAATATTTATATAATAATAATAATAATAGTAGTTAAGCTACTACTCAAAGTAATGTGTTTTAAAAAACAGTTTACATTACTGGAACATGAATTTAAAGGAATTATTAAAAAAAACAACACTTACATTGGCAACTTGAGTGAAGTGCAGACAGTTCTGATAGCCAACTGCAAACTTCGGTAAAAAACTAACTTAACATACACAATGAAACCGTTTTCTGTAAGCTACAGTTAGATTACTCAATTAAAAATGACCACCAGAATGAAAATTGCTTACCTCGACGTGTTTCCTTAGATTTGAAGGAGAATTCTTGTAAGAAGAAATTTTACAGGGCCGAGGCAGGCAGAGAAGACAATTGAAAATGAATGAGTCTTTCTTCTTTCCAACGACTTAAAAAAAATCGCGCAAATAAGGCCACGGGTGTTGTGGCAAGTTAGAGTCAGGAGTTTCTTCCATCACTGAAGGCACTGTCACTCTCAAAGTGTTATGCTGTTGCACTACCGCTGAACTGTATTCGCGCGTAGATACCACCAAGCGGCAACCAAAACAAGTTCAAAACAGAGCGCGCGCTGTACCCTGATTGGTGGCTTGCCGTGTGCTCAACTTGTTAAGTTAACTTTTTCCTCTCATAAATAAAAAGGAACGACTGATTTCGCAAAATGTAGTTGAGTAAAAGTAAGATATTTGACTTTGAAATGTAGTGAAGTTAAAGTAAAAAGTCTCCCCAAATGGAAATACTTCAGTAAAGTACAGATACGCGAAAAAGCTACTTAAGTACAGTAACGAATTACATTTACTTCGTTACTGTCCACCACTGCATATTTGTTGCTTAACATGATTTTAAGGCCTGAAAAAATCTATTTTTGTTTTTCAGTTGTGTGATTCATTATTTGGCCACTAGATGTCGAAGTTAGTACACTGTTGTATCTATTATTTTGGCCTTTCTCCTGTGAATGAAAATCAAATTTTTTGTTTAAATTTAGTCATCCTTATGATATATATTTTCAGATCCTTCAGAGGTTTTGAAAATGTACTGTTTTGATAAGGATTGACGTAGCAGGATGTACCCTCAGCGTCATACATTTTATTAGCGTCATAAATGTGACTGTTATGAAGGCTCCCAAATTGTCAATAAAAAATAGTAATATTACAGGGGAAAAAACACATATATATTTCCTATTTTGTCAAAACTTGATCAAAGCATTTAGCTAATTTCTATATCCATGTGATAAATGATCTATTTTAAAGCTAATACATCTGTCTTTGTAAGGTCTACTGCAATGGACTCAGATAGTGGGGATACATAGTAGAGTTGTTATCCATTATTGATCATTTAAATTGTTCTTGAGTTGACAATCACCAGAAGAGCTGAATGACCGCTGGGCTATTAAACTATCACCTATTAAATTATCACCTTCATACATGATGCATTTATTAAATCAGTCCAAATGCAATAGTACACTGGAAAAATTTGGTGTTGAAAATTGCAAAGAAATAGTAACACACTGAGTTAAATGTGAAATGTTGAAGTAGAAAGACTGAAATAGTATTTTCTTCTAAAACCTACTCCAGTTATCTTTATTTTATTTACAGATTCGTACAAAAAAAAAATACAGCGATTTTTACAGTGTACATTGAAAAACACATTTTTACTTAAAAAATGCTAGTAAATCTCACAAACAATTGTAAAGAAATGGCAAGTAACACATTAAATTAATTGAATTAGTAAATCAACTGAAATAGTATTTTCTTGTAAAACAAACTCTAATCATATACAGAGTTCTGGCATCAAACTCTAGATGGCGCAGTCCGATAGGTCTAACTCAATCTGACCTAATGACATCATTATCACATGGCACAGCTGATTGGTTCTCTCCTGTATCGGTAGCCAATGAGCTCGCTGCTCAACATTCAAATATATGACTAGTGCTTGCCATAGCAGTTGCAGCTTGCTTCAGATACCCTCCACCTTCCCCAGCTCCACCTGTATAGATCTGCTACGGGGTGATTCATGTATGCTATATGGGGTTATTTCATGTGTGTTATATTTGCAGCAGCAATATTTCTTACATGCTCACAGCAGCATGTTGTGGATGTATGTAAGTATGTAAGTCTCGGTACTTGCTCTGCCGCAGCAGCGTAGCAGATCTATTCCACCAAGACCAAATACATTAACATTATCATGTACATTACCATGCCAATCCCTCCGAGAGTTGTCAGAACTCTGTTTTATTTACAACTTTGAAAAATCTTTTTTTTTCTACAGTGTAAGTCACTCTAAAAAATGCTGGGTTGTTTCAACCCAACTTTGGGTCAAATATGGACTAACCCAACTTTTGGTTTAAAAATGTAATAAAAAAATGTAACCCAACAGTTGGGTTAGTCCATATTTGACCCAAATTTGGGATGAAACAACCCAGCATTTTTTAGAGTATAAGGGGGAACATTATTCTAAATAACTTATTGACTGATTTTCATTATAATTATGGCGCCGTAATCCAATGGTACATTATAGACCTCGTTTCTTTTATAACAGCATGATTCTAACGAGAGAAAAAAAAGATTATAAATTAATAAGGAAGACAGATCTGTCAGTCTCTCTATTTACTGTATCATCATACCCAATATTGCAAGCCCAACCTTATAGGCTTGTCTTAATAAACCAGCAACAACCCAACGGTCATTCAACCCAATTTATTACTGATGTCCATGAGATGACGTTAATAATCCGCAGTAAACCTCAATGTGATTTGATAAGTGATAGATAAATGTGATCAATATCAGGAACTCATTAACTCTTTTTACACTATTTTGAATCTCTGTTTAGCATAAAGAACAGACAGTGCGCACACCTTGACCTTGTCAGACTGTGATCAGGTAATGTCTTATCAGTCTAATAAAGGGGAAGATAGTGTAGAAGGTGTGGACAGACTGCACTGATAGAAGAGCTCCTCTGACATGAGAGAAACGCCACTGAGAGCAACAGGTATGAATCAGTCCTTCTCGCTTTCTCTAATACAAAAAAGACTAACAATTATTACACTGTATAATTATTTGATTGAGCAGTGTAACTGGTGCTCATTTGAAATGTTATATGAAGTTGATTTGGAAGTGAGATCCTTCTGATATCTCAATCGTTTCACCTACGCCGTAAAAAAAGATTTTTTTTCTTCTTCAAAATGTCATGTTTAATTCAATGTGTTACTTGCCATTTTTGTAATTATTTGTGAAATTGTCTAGCAATTAATAAGTGAAGATTGTTATTAAAGTTTTGGTTCTCAGATTTGTTTTCTCCCAAAGCAAAGATGTCACTAATCATACATGTGTCTCCAAGAGTTTAAGTAGATCTTGGCAATGTTTTATACTGCTCTCTGACTCCAAGTTGGAGATTTTTAATTATGAACATATTTCTAATCAAATTATCAAATTCTCCCAAAATGAAATGAGCTGCTATTTACAGTATTTGCCCTGTAATCTAACTGGCTCATTTGTGTGTTTTTATTAATTGTTTATGTATTTATTCTGTCCATGCACTAATGGTTTTTAATTATTCTTTTAATATTTCACAGTAATAATCATGCGAGAAGAACAGTTTAGGATTCTTAATATTCAGTAACTATGACAAAACAAATCATTTAGTCTTATCTGTAGTCATTATGTCTGTGTGATGAACTACAGAGACAATAAACTTTTACCTGCTATTATTAACCTGGCACTTCATATTGATTATTTAACAGATATGTGTGATTTGATGCTGTTGGGAAGTTAAAACTGGCTAAACGGGTCTTTTTCTGTAAAACCACATTTCAGATGCAACCAAACTGAAAAATGAAGAAGATTAAATGTGAAAACTCTCCAGGGGACAGTGCATGTAAAACCACAAAATCATACGAAGCTGATGAAGGTAAGAACTGTAGTGTGCTGTGTTTAATTTTGATAGCAAAAAAATGTATTTTGAAACACTCACAATTACATTAAGACATACTGTAATAATTAAGAAAAACTAACTATTTAATGTTTTACTGTGCAAATAATTTCTTCTCTTTTCTTACAACACAGATGCTGACCTCAAGTGAGTATTTATTTATTTATTTATTTTTCAAAAAATGATCTGTTGAATTTCACACCTGAAATACATTTCTTAAAGGAATAGTTGATTCCGAAATGAAAATGTGCTGAATATTGACTCACCTTCAGGCATTTTAAGATGTAGATGAGTTTGGTTAATATGGAAAGCCATATACAGCTTGGATCACCTGAGGCTGAATACATTTTCCTCAAATTTTCATTTTAGGGTGAACTGTTCCTATAATATTTTATTTTAGTCTAGTGATGGATTTAGTGCTTTGGTAGACAATGTAGTGACTGTAGGGATTCAAATATTTGTAGTCTCAGAGTTGTTGTTGAGTGTGTAGATAATATGAAGGGTTTTTGATGAAATGTAAAACAAAAACTACATTTAGAAAACTAAAAACACTCCCAGTAACCCCAAAACTACTGTTGACAATATAACAGTGTGACCGAGCATAACATTTTTTTGTTTATTATTTACATTATTGCTGGTCCAGATACTTGATGTAGGTTTGATTTACAAGTAACAGCAATGATTCTTCAGATGGTTGTTGATTCAGTTACCAAAAATGAACTATGTAGATGTATATAGTTGGCCTCATAAAAGTATTGCTCATGAAAATCAACTTAAGCTGCAATAAAGTATCTCAATTCTGTCTGTGTTTGAAGGAATGGCAGTGACAAAACAAAAGAGAAAGCGCTGACCATCGGATTCTTTCAGCTGGTAAGCATCTCAATGTGATTCTGCTGATCAGATTGATTTCATTCATGATTTTTCTCTCACATCACTGTTTCTGGTCTCTGCCCAGTTCCGCTTTGCCACATGGAAGGAGGTCCTGATGATGGTGGTGGGAGGCGTGTGCTCTCTGGTCCACGGCGCCGCGTCTCCTCTCATGCTGCTGGTGTACGGCATGATGACCAACACCTTCGTGGACTATGAGCTTGAGATTCAGGAACTGGCCGACCCGAACAAAACCTGCATTAATAACACCATCACCTGGCTGGACGGGACTGTGGTCGAGCGGCTGGACAACAGCACCACGTACTGTGGGTGAGCGAGGATGTTCGAATGCCATTCAACGCATATAAACAATTCTGTCCTTATAACTTAAAGTCCCCATGAAATCAAAATTAAAGTTTTTTGGGTGTTAGTATCAATATGTTAGTCTTAAGGTTATCTATAAGGCAGTGTGCTCCAAAACAGTGACAATTTGGATTTCTTTTAATGTAGCAATGGTTATTTGTTTGTATGATGTTAGGGGTGTTAAATCGTTGTTGTATTTGTATGTTTGTTTCAAGGTTTATTTATATTATGTTTTGTGTTTGTTTTCTTTATACAAAGCTCTTACGGTGATTCGTGATGTCTTATGGCATTTAACGGTGATTACTACAAATCTACGGTGACAGATCTTTAATAAAGCTCATTATGAATCATCAGTTGAAGAGTCCAACATTTTTTAAGCCAGGAAGCTACAAACACAGAGTAACGCTGCGTGTTTCTAAGCATTTCAGGGGACCTTTAAGATGAAATCTGCAACCTCAGCGGCCTCACAGGAAAATTTGATTGCTCATTCAAAGTGCAAGAGACTTTGAGACTTTCCATCAAAGAAATTCATTAGATGTTTTTTCTGAAATTTCTTAGGAGAAATATTTGACACAATCGACCCTTCGCAAAGACCCGCCCCCCTTAGTTACTGTTGCTACGTCACTCTCACACCACACATCATGTTCTCACTCAGTGAAAAATACATCGCGGAGCAAAGAGGAAACTGAAAACACGCAGACAAACAAGACAGAGCAGGTTACTTTTGCTATGAAACAAAGTCTCGGCTTTCAAATTTTGTCATTTTTATTTTAAATTCAAACAATAAATAGTGTTTTGTGGCTCTTTAATCATGACAGATCACTGTAGCGCCTCAGTTCAAGCGGCATGTGAACCGATCCTCTCTTTCTCTTTAATAGTTATAGCACGAAATAAACATGAATGAACATCAGAAGGTATCTTGTTTCAGCCGCGGAAAGACATCAATACACACCATTTTTCAAGTTCAATTCCACCAACGTTAATCTACTCTCTTGTCTGGTTTGTTTGTCGGACAAAATGGCAGATTCAGCGTTATGATTGGTCAGATCGCCTGTCAATCAAACTCCCGGCAAACGGTCAGTTGAGAGCATTATGAAAGTGCAGAGCTTTAAATATAAACATGGGAGAAATTTGGGAAAATTTGATGAGAAATATTTGAGTTCATTAAGACTGAATTTGAGTTAGTTGAATCCGTGTGAACGCGAACCGCACCAAGAATGAAAAGCAACATTGTAATAATTTTAATCCCTGTTTCGGAACAAAGCAATCGATCTACAGGTGTGAAAACACCCTGAGACATCGATAAGATCTCTTATGAAACTCTAGAGGAGGAATGCATATGAGATTACTAGCATCAAAGTCCCTTTAAGGCAAGTCATTTCACTCAGCGGCCATCTTTGAAACACCTCTCGGGCATGCAAGTGCAGTGCTGCGTCCCAATTCGCATACTATCCATCCTAAATAGTATTCGAAAATAGAATTAGTATGTCCCAAATCATAGTATGTTTAAAAAAGTATGCCAAAGATTCCCGGATGGTCTACTACTTCCGGTTAGAATTGTAAGTGCAGATTGATGCACACTCTAACGATTCAACTAGTACAAACATTAAAAGTGTTTTTAAAAACTACAAACATGGCGGATATACGCGACCAACGGACAGGTAGAAAAACGGATTTGAGTGATAAATAATCAATGTCTAACCTGATGAAAAAATATAAATTTAATGTTATCCACGTTATATTTAATCTGCGGCAACACTGTGAACTTTTAAAATGATACTTTTGGTCATTAACTTTTAAATGCATCATTATGCAAACACATGAGCAGAGTTCTCGGCATGATAGACCCGCGACTAGCAGATCAACCTACTTCTTAATTTCTCTCCAATACGGTAGGAAATCAAATTAAACGAAATGTGGAAGACGTTAACTGTGATAAGATGATTGACAGGGCAGTTTAAACAGTGACAGAATGCACGTAACTAAGCAACAGAGCATCCATTAAAGACGCAGTTATGACGAAGTAGTATGTCCCAAAGTCCGAGTATGAGTCACCATACTTGGCCACATGTCACGTCACTTTTTTCAAAGCTTGCCTACTATTCTTCTACATACTCAAAAGTACTTTTTTCTTCACAAAAAGAGTAAATACTTTTAGGGCATAGTATAAGTAGGTGAATTGGGACACAGCACGGGTCTCCGAACGCTGAGTGTTTCTATAGCAACCAGGACTTTTAACGGCAGCTGCAGTGACCCGATCACTTTACGATTAGCTATTGGCTCTTTTATTCAGAAGGCGGGGCTTCTTTCGATAGAGCGACCATATTGAGCGTTGCATTTTACCCCATTCAAAACTATACAACTGACACATCTTGGGTATTCTGTAGTCTTTAGGCCACTTTCACACAGCAGCAGAATATGGTTGTCAGTCCTGTTTTTGAGTCCTTAATATGTATGTTACGTTCACACACAGTTCGGTTATTTACGGGCGTGACAACCGCATTCTGTAACCGAACTCACAACCGCATTCTCGGAACACACGCGCTGTGTGAACGGAACAGGACTGGACAACAAGTTGTCTGTCACGTCATACAGTGCGAGAGAGAGCCGCTCTGCAGCACAAACGCTAGTCTACCGTGTGTTACGTGTTTTCGGTAACTTACAGTGACGGAGAAATGAGCTGCGTGTCATCTGAACGTTTTAGAGCCCGTCAGTTTTCCACCGGAGCCGCTCCCATCAGTTTTGTGTTCTGCGCGCGATTCAAATGCTCCGCTCTCCACCCAAATTTAAAAGCTGCTGT